TCCTCTCAGAGCCGGTGGGTGCGGGGAGCCGTGGGGGGCCGGGCCGGTGCCACCGCTACCACCGCTGCCCCTGGGGGAGCGCCCGGTCGTCTGCCGAGTCCAGCTCTCCCGCAGAAAATTCCCCTCGCCCTCCCCTAGCCCCAGCCGCTCTCCTCCATTCCCACGCTGGAGGGACGGAGGGAGCCCGGGAGGAGTGGTACCGCTTAGCTCCAGCGGTATCGGCCGGCTGGCGCCTGCAGGTGCATGGCACCTCTTGTTCGCTCCAAGTCACAGGTCTTTTCTGGTCCCCGGCGGGTGGCTGCTGAACCGATGCTAAAGAGGGTTGCACAGGCTGCTAGGCGACTGCAAGGGAGAGCCCTGCGGTTGGGTCTGGAAGTGCTCGGGTATGATAATCTGAGGGGAAAAATGCATAACTTCCTTGTTTAAGTGGGCGGAAATAGATCGGTATGCTTTGTTAAAACCCCAGTTACTCACTGACTTGGGTGAATTGTGAGTTTGCTCAGTTACTGAGGACATCATGTTCTCACGTCTCAAGGAAAACTGTCAGAAGCGATCTGAATGTCTGGAATAAGGCATGATTTATGATGTCTGGGCCCTTTGCTTCTGCTTCAGAATAGTAGTTACAATTCTTGCACAGCTGTGTATTTTTGGCTGCTGTTTACACTATTGAAACAATCTCTGGTATGCTTGTAACTGATTTTTAAACAGTCCCACTTAAAATAACAGTAACAGGTGCATTACAGAGGGCTAGTTGTGATTATCCTAATGTAGGCCAAGTTATGTCCCTTTCATAATCGCTGACTTAATTCTAGTTTGGAGGTTAAGTGAGGATCGTGGGGAGAGTAGCGCATGCATTGGAGTATTGTGGTTATAGGGAACGGGGTATGGGTGTGAGAGAGCATAACACATCCAGAAACTTGGCTCCTAATCTCAAGTTCTTTAACAATTAAACAGTATGCACTTTCTGGAGCTGAGAGCAGAATTACAAGAATTTACAAGTTCTGCCCAATTACAGTTTGTGGGCTTAACAGCTGTGTCATTCTTTCTGGTGAATATTTCAGAAAGTGAAGGCTAATGCACTCTAATGCTTCTCTTGTGTGGGACAGTATGACATGATCACAGATACTGAGTAAAGCCAGAGTTCTATCATGGGGGAAAAAGCAAGGTCTCTAGAAAAAGATAGTCCCTTTAATTTAATCCACATTAATTATGTGAATGGGAAAAGTCTTATTCTCTCTTTAGTCCAAGTCTACCCTAAATCTAGTCAAGCCTAGTTAAAACTCAGAAACTCGGCCCGTTTAACTTTCTTTGTGCATCTTAATGCATATGTTTTTATTGCACTGTTGTAATGCACATTTAATTTTATCATTTTAAGAAGTCAGTTATAAGCTTTGAAGATAATAAACCATGTAGAACTCAAGACTACCCCCAAACTAGGAGGGTAAATATCAGGTCTACTATAATGACACAACGCAATTCACTGTAATGTTCCATATTTAGAATAGCACTACAGTATCTTTGGACAGTGTTACTTAGAACAATTAGACACTGCATCTACAGATGAAAAAAACCTGTGTATCGTAACTACCAAATGGTCTTTTGCTACTGAAATCACATTAATTGTAGCTGCATTACTGGGTTCTAATGCTTAAGTGTGGGAAGGAAAATATGAATTAACTCGTGCTGCTGGAAGCAGAGAAACTCAGTGCTGAAAGCAGAGACTGTGCAGTGGGGGAACAGTGTTCTGTACTGGTACTGGTGGCATATGGTTTATTTTATCTATCTTTGCTCCTACCCTATGCTATATGTTCCTTTTCTACTCTTTTTTTTTTCTTTTTATTTAAACTTTGTACTGACATATTTTTCATCCATTTGAGTGTCTTTCTACTATGATGTTATGAATAAAGAAATTTGATCCTGAAAACCTTGTCTCATATTTATTGAATGTAAGGTTATGTATACAACTTATGGTGAGGGCTCACTTCATGAAACAACTGATAGTATTTTCCCAGAGTTCCATTTAAAAAAAGTCTAAAAGATTTTTGTATTCAAAGTTAAAATGGTTACCATAAATTTACTAGCAGTCCTGTGTGTTAAAAAAAAAAAAAGGTATTGTTCTTGGTTTTTTAAATGCACTTAGCCTTTTAGTTCAGTGTCATAAAATGTATTTTTAAGTGGGGGAAGTGTGGCTTGGTGCACAGGTGTATAAAGAACCAAAACTTACCTGTAGCAGTTTTGGGGGGTTGAGGTAGTAGATGCTGAAAGTGTCTGGTTTGTGGTATTCAAGTGAGTAAGGACCAAAACTAATCTAACCTGTTGTTTGTTTTCATTTGGTTCAAGTGGGGGCTTTGTATGGTTTTCTGATTTATTTGTTTAAATGTACATTTCCAGTATATAAAATTCATATGTTTGTGCAAGTCAGGAGAAGTTTGCCTTTGTCTCTCCCGAAGTAATGTTTTGTGATGTTTTGATTCAGTAAGAATTCTAGTGCGTTCAGCCTGATGGTTATTTAGGAGGAATTAATTTGTGACTCTTTCAGAAGCGATTGTAAGTACTACAAGGTGTAATTTTTACAACTGTTTTTTTATGTGTTGCAATGAATTGAGGAACTAGTCCATGTATTGGCCAAAGATTTGTTTGCATTTAGAATTCACTGTGTGACTGTGTAAATAATTGTAGGTAAACTAGTTGGAGAGAATGCATTTGTAGTTCTGAGACATTTATTTTTAGTGTTGTAGATTAAAATGGAATTACTTTTTAATATGTTCTCAGCTTAGAAGGAAATCCTTCCAGGCAAAGAGGCAAGTTCTTTCTAAACAAGTGCTACTGGTTAGGTTTATGTACTGTGTCTAGATTGTAAATTTCTGAACTGTTCAAACATTTGTGAAAGCCCATATAAATAATACCCTGTAAAAGTGATCAGGGAAAAAAACACAGCTCTGACTTCAAGGGAGCAGAATGACAGTCCCTTAAGGCAGGGAGTGATACACTACTGTACCTTTGTACTTCATGAAGTCAGTAATACAATTTAGGACAAAAACTGTTTTGAAATGCTAATTATATTTTACATTCGACATTCTTTTCAGCAAATTTCTTACTTTCTTGGACCTTATTTCATCTTAACCTTAATAGAATATCCAGCTATGTATCACTGTCTGAAGACTGCTCAGAGAGCGCTATGCTTGACTCCCTTGCTGTCCCCTGCACGCTGCTTTAACATTGAGATCCCGGGTGGCTGAAATTTCAGCGTAAGGGCAATGTATCTGGTACATCTCAAAATTTGATCTGTTTGTAAACTCCACTGTTGGTCTTCAATGTCTTCTTGTCATCGTAAATCAAAATAATAGCAAAATCACTGATAGTGACAGGTTTTCCATTTTGTGGTGGGTTTTTTTTTCCCAACTAGCTTGTGGATTGCAAAGAGTAGAAGAGGGTTCTGAAATTTATGCCTTGCAGTCTTCCGTAACAAAATAAGAGATAAGAAAGGCTGCTCATTTTTATAACTCCATCATTTAGGAAGTGATGTGACTGACTCAAATAATTGATTACTGTTTTGTGTGTGTAAACTTGCTTAAAGCAAAGGCAGTGAATTAATATGTTAATTTCCAGTTTGGGGAATATATTTATTTGAAGGGAAATCACACTGTTTTCCTTTTTGTGGCACGTGAAAACTAGCATCTCATTTATTTACGGAAAGAAAATTTAACATGACAGAGGTTACAATTGAGTATGCGACAGGGACACATGCTGTTATGGGAAGCTCCTACAGTGGAGCACATCAGCCGTTTCCTTCTTCAAGTTGGGAAAGCAACTCTTCCTAGAGAGGAAGATTGGATTTTAACGAGATGATTACTGTTGTCCCTGTTACAATAATGATTCGTAGCTGCCGTAAACACTAGAGGGTGTTAGAAGAATGACTGGAACATTAAGAACTCGGTATTTAAAGCCCGGTATACCAGGAGAGCGGAACGCGCTTGAGCTGTGAAGGCCCTTAGAGATGCCTGTGCCAACCCAGCCTTGCCATAAACAGCACGCTCGCGTTCTGCTGCTGCATCTGCTACAGCCGAAGGGAAGGCGGTGACCTACAGTGACTCAGTCTGTTTCCTCAGCAGCGTTCAACAGATGATAGCATCTTGGGAAAGACCATGAAAACATCAACATCTCATCAAAAGGAAAAAGCATAAGAAGAATTAAACTGTAAATGCTCATCTTGATAACTGTTACCGTATGCGGTAGCGATCCTGACCGGAAGACCCTTGCACATCGAGGAGTTAGCGATCCACGGCGCCATTACCTTGAGTACGCCCCGGCCTGTGCTGCGCAGCACCGCGCTGCCAGGACAGCTCGGCCTTCGGGCCTGTGTCGTGCCGCACAAATCCCTCGGCCGCAGGATGGACTCCGCCAGCTCACTGTCACAGAGGAGCCTGCAGGCAGCGCCCGCTCGGTACCAGTGGTTATGCCACCTGCGTGGCCTTGCCTTTAGGAGTGCAGCAAGAAGTTCTCGTGTGAACACCCCTTCTGTTTGACAGTGGAAATGACCAATAGAGTGG